TTTTTATTTTGGAAAAAAAGAAAGAAAAAAAAAGAGAGAAAGAAAGAAAAAAAGAATGAAGGAGAGGAAGAGAGAGGAAGAGGAAGAGGGAGAACGGGAGTGTTGCTTTATTGCCCAGACTAGAATGCAGTCTAAAAACGGGTATTGAAAACCTCTTTTACGCCAATAATTGTGCTTAATAATGGAGACAGGAAAAAAAATGATATATCTTAAAAAGAATCGTGATATATCTTAAAACATGATATATCTTAAAAAGAATCAGTTTAAATATTTTTATAGTGGTCATAACCATATATCTAAAAAATGTATTTATATACATTTATTATTAGTCATTTTTATTGACTTCCTAGTGCAGTAGCTAAAAATTTTCCTCACCTTAACGCATGCTTTCCTCTACCTTCTTGAAAATGTAGAATATATTATTGTAATTATATATATTCTATATGTAATATATAATTATATGTATTATATATAAATGAAGAATATATTATAATAATTGCTTTAATGTCCTTGTCTGCTGGGTATATTATCTGTGTCATTTCTGTGTATCTTCCTATTGACTGATTTATTTATGTTCATTTTGGGTTACATTTTTATGCTTTTTAAAATACTTTTTTTTGGGTTGCATTTTTATACTTTTGGCCTGTCTGCCTGGTAAATTTTACACTGTAGGTGCTAGATATTTCTGTATACTTAAAAAACTTTTTAAAAAAATTTCAGTAGGTTTTTAGGGAACAGGTGGTGTTGGTTATGTGAAAAGTCTTTTAGTGGTGATTTCTGACATTTTGGTGTACCCATCACCTGAGCAGTGTACACTGTACCCATTGTGTAGTCTTTTATTCTTCACCATCCCCCATCCTTTCACCTGAGTCCCGGCAGAGCTACCGAGCTCCGGGCTGGTACTGAGGAGTGTCTGCAAAGAGACCCGTGATGTGATCCATCTTCAGATCTTGCAGCCAGTACCTTCTCCAGTGGCGGTAGCAGGGGAGTGTAGCGGACTCTGTGAGGGTCCTTGGTTATGCTTTTGTTTAGTGTGCTCGTTTTGTGTTGGTTGGCTCCAGCCAGGAGGTGGCCATTTCAAGAGCCCATCAGCTGCAGTCCTGTAGGGAGGATGCAAACTTGCCCTACGAACACCTGGTTAAGTATGCAGGTTTCTCAGGCAGGGCCCTATAGAGCTCCCAACATTATGACCTTTGTTTTCAGGTACCAGGGAATGTAGAGAAAGACCGCCAGGTGGGGGCAGGGATAGGTGTGTCTGAGCTCAGCCTCTCCTTGGGTGGGGTTTGCTGCTGCGGCTGCTGTGGGGATGGGGGTGTGGTTTCCAGTCCAATAGAGTTATATTCCCAGGGGGATTATGACTGCCTCTGCTGAGTCTTACAGGGAAGTTGGGGAAAGCTGGTAGTCACAGGCCTGACCCTGCTCCCATGCAGCCCAGAGTCCTAAAGGTCAGTCTCACTCCCACCATACCATCCCAAAAGCAAGTCTATTTCCAGACAGCTGCTGAGCAGGGCTGAGAACTGCCCCAGACCAGGAGGCTCCCCATTGAGAAAGCAAGCAGATTCCGTTTTTTTGGCATCTCAGGGAGCCTGCATGGGTGATCCAGTTCCTTCAAAGGGTCTGTGGATTCTCTCAAGTTTTCTGGGTATGTTCCTATGGTAGTTCTTGGAGTAAAAGTTCATGATGTGAGTCTCCACACAATGCTCTGTCTGGAACTGCAAGCTAGTCCTGCCTCCCATTTGCCCTCTTAATCTCTGTATACTTTAAAATATTCTTGAACTTTGTTTTGGGAAAAGTTTGGTTTTGTTTTTCTGAGGCTTGCCTTTGATCTTTGTTAGGTGAGATCGGGGCAGCCTTTAGTCTAGGGCTAATGTTTTTCCAGCTACTCAGACAACAGACTTCTGAGTAGACTATGTATTATCAGGTTTATTATCAGCTATTTCAACTGTGTGAGATCTGTGGATTATTCTGCCTGTTCCTTTCTGGCGGTTCTTTTCCCAGCCTCAGGTAGACTCCTTCTCATGGAGTGCTGATTAGTGCTTAACTGCAGAGTGAGAGGGAACCCTCTCCAGATCTTCAGAGCTCTTTCTCTCTCTGCCTCTGGGTCTGTCTATCTCGTGCTGCTATCTCCTCTCTGGTACTTCACCCTGAAAATTATAGCACTTTTTACCAGGTATTACATCTCTGAATAGGTGAATTTCTGGATAATATTTCAATATTTGAATCGTTGAATTATAACCAGATTGCTACCTGCTAAAAGATGAAAGTGGTGAAGAAGTTCATTTCAGGAAGAACTCTCAGCATAGCAGCCTACGTTTGGCTTTAATAAGTATTCGCAGTATATTTATAAGTATATATATATGTATATATATTCATATATATATTTGTATATTCATATATATATGAATCCTAACTTACAAACTTAGGTATGTAAGTACATGGCTTTTTTTTTGTTGTTTAAATTAACTTAAATCTGACTTTGACTCTGGGCTTTCATCAAGAAGATAGGAAAGTCAGTCTCAGTACTACTGAAACTCATTGTGTCATTTTCCCAGCCTACCTGCTTCTTTTGGTCCTTTGATTCTGTGGTTTCTGTGCTCTGCTGGAGCAGGCAGTGTTTTGTGAGGCCAGGAGCCCCCTGTGCTGTAGATCAAACACATATACAGACATCACTCTTAAGCCCTTACCATCTCCCCAGATGCTTTCAGATGCAGGGAACTAGTGCCCGAAGCTCTAAGACCCACTTGCCCATCCTCCTCCAAGTCAGGGTTCACTTCTGCCTCCCCACTATCCTTATTATCAAATACTCTTTTCCTTAACTCCTGCTTTCTGTCCCTGATCTGGGCACCCTCCATCCACAATAGCATTATGTTTTCAGGGAACATATGGAAGAAGGCAATAAGAACCTATCTGACTGGAATGTGGGGAGAGGTTAAAGTTGTACCACCAAATAACACTGCGTATTACGAATGTTTTCATTTTTACCAATATAATAGGCCAAATATAATAACTCTTGGTTGAATAATTCAATCCTTTTGATTATTGGTGGGGTTCAGCATTTCCTTTCATATGCCTATAGTTTATTTATATTTATTCTTCTGAGAATTGTCTGTTTAGATTTCTTTTTCATTTTTTCTTTGGGTTCTGTTTATTTCCCCCATTATTTTTAATTTTAGCCTCTTTGTCTATATTACAGATATTTGTCTTTTATTCTGCATATTGTAAATGCTTTCTCCTACTCTGCCATTTGCCTTAAACTTTGTTCATGTTTTTCTAACTATGCAGAAGTTTTAATTTTTATGTGATCAAAACCAGCTATATTTTCTGGTCTCATGGAAAGGCTAAAATTTAAAAGTTCCAGTGGGCAAAAACATAAAGGAAAATAGTCTTAAAGAGATGAGAAAGTACTATGAAAGAAAAGGGAAAATTAAAAAGAAATAGTAAATCATTTTAAAAGGAGACATAGAGTTTAAAAGACTAAGTTAGAAAAATAGTAAGAAAGGCCAACAAGCTAGGAATAATCAATATATACAAAAATAAATTCCAAAATGAAAAGTGTGTGTGTGTGTGTGTGTGTGTGTGTGATAATTATGAACCAATGCCCCCAAATAACAAGGTAATTGATGAAAAATTTTTAAAATTAATTTTAAAAATTGACATAGATGAAGAGCTTTTTAAAAAAAGACAATGTGGGCTATGAGAGAAAGATGAACTGGAGATTAGTATGATTTCCTGAGCTTAATGTTTTTTTACAGAGGCAAATGGAGGAATCCAATAGATGGGGACTTTCATGAAATGTTATTAAATATGAAAAACTGAGGGGCAAAGAATAGAAATGAGGAGGTCTGTACTTTTATTCAACTGCTCAAGCTCTGCTCTCCTTATAGTTACTACATACAAATAAATTGCATTGCCACATGTATGTAAACACACATATACACCACACATACCATGTAATTTAAAAAAAACAAAATGTATGTGAGATGCATAATGCTTTAGTGAGATGAAGAATGAAATTCTTTAGTTTCTAGGGAATGAATGTTAAAAATTATTTTTCTACTTTTTGATTTAGAGACTCTTCACTCACACACAGATATTTATATATTTATATAATTTACATGTTATATTTATTCATATATCTATGCAATAAAACACAAACTATAACAGATAATTATGTATTATAGATAATTATATATAAGTTATGTATAGATTATATATTATAATAGATATCTATAATTTATATAGATATCTCATGCTATATCTATTATATATAGATAATCTATTATATATAGATTATATAATTATCTGTAATATATATCTATTATATATATATAATTGTATATATATATCTGTAATATATATATCTATTATATATAATCTATATATAATAATATATATCTATTATATATATATGTAATATATATCTATTATATATTACAGATAATTATAATATATAACTATTATATGTAATAATATATAACAATCATATATAGGTATATGTGTAGATATATATCTACATAATATTTAACATATAGTCTATTATATATAATATGTAGAGAGGTGGATTATATTTCCTCAGAGTTTGATATGATCTATTTACCATTAAACTGCAGTCTGCCTGCAAAATTTTCATTTTCCCACATATTAGCAAAACACTGGTATTATAGTGATTAATAATGAGTTGTTCAGTCTTTCCATTAGAAAGACTGTATTTGCTCTTTAATCAAGTCCAATTCAATCTCCATAGCATCCTGTTGGTATACATGGTTAAAATTTGAGTCTAGCACAGTATAATGATAATAAAAATAATATAGTTTTATTTTGTTACTTAGTAATTATGCAGAATGATCAAAACGGTGACTATTGACAATACTTGTTTTATTTTTCAGATTTCGTGATCCATTGGAAAGTGATACTATTGTGGTTCATGCCATACAAAGTGACCACAAGATAACCTCTTACAGGCTGGTGCAGCCCTCTAAGTACTCCAAATTCAAACGAGCAAGTCAGTCAGAGAGAAGACCAAGCAAACTGGACAGGTTTGAAAAAGAGGGAGCTGGAAGAAAGGACAGCCAGAGAGATGCAGGTAGCCTATGTCAAGAAGGCTTTTAAATTCTTACTTCCTAAGACTTCAAAACTGAATTGTCTGTGGGCAGAACCATTGAACCTTCTTTGGTGCTTGAGCTCAATCTCTTGTCCCTCTTCCTTCCATGATGGTTTGCTTTGGAGTACATAATCAATGGAGACAAAAGTATACGGTATAGCTGAGAATGAGAGGCCACATTTTTCCAACAAATGCTCCATGCCCACTGTGTCGCCTTTAATGTAGTTTGTAAGAAGCCCTACCCCGGTCATGTGACGAGAGTGGGTGAGAGGACTGGATGCTGCTGCTTCCTTACTTGCCACATCTGGCTATTGTTAAATCTAGGATTTCCCCAGATGCTAGGTTCTAGGCAGTGGTTCTTTTCAGATTCCTGGGCTCCATCCCAGAATGTGGGGCTAAAACACTGCATTTCAGACTGTTTTCCAAGAACATATGCTTTACACAGAATGAGCAGAGAATACAGGTATGAAAATAGTACCTCTAATCCCTTCAACCTGTTTCTTGTGGCTTTCCACAAGGTGACTGCAGATGAGTAGGAGAAGAACAAGAATTCTGGAAATGGCTTGGAGAACCAATCAGCAATAAATAAAAGGTGCTGCTGCAGCCTGGCTAGATCTAGGCCATTGACCATGATACAATACGAACATTAATATTGGTTTATCCTCCTCGTTGAGAAGTTTTTAATGTCTCCTTTTTGATTCTAGGATAAATTCTGGAACTGCTGTCCTGGTGCTCAGTCCTTCCACAATCTGTACCTATTCTATGTTTCTAGCAGTGCCTTCTCATACTGTTCAACACCTGTTTAGTCTTTTGTCCTGCCTGCTGCTTTTTGGGAACATGCCCAAGCCTGTATGTGGGTGCCCCGTGTCCTGGCAGTAACAAGGGAGTGAGAAAAGGAAATAAAGACAAAGATACGAGAGTAGAAGTTCACAGCATGGGTCCAGGGGTCCAGTACACTCTCTCATGGGGTGAACTGTGTTGGCACCGAGCTCTGGGTTCCACGTGCTTTTATTAGGTGTATATACTTGTTAATTGAGGGGTGGGGGAGCAGGAAGGGATGATCAGGGGAGGACTTGAAACTGTTGGGAGAGGCCTTGAAACTAAGGTGGGCAAGATAGCCAAGAGAGAGGTGTGGTCTGCCGTATTCAGTAGCAGACGTGATTCTCATGCAAACCTAGAACACTGAGTTCTAGCACTGGTTGCTGCCAAGGTGCATTTGCGTCAGAAGCTTAGCGGATAAGACACCACCAGGTTTCATCACACCCAGTGCATCACGGGGCTGGACACAGAGCAAACAAGATTACTCCATATTCTGAGAACCTAGACAGAGCCTGTGGCATTCTGGTAATCTCTGCCCTGCAGGGCTTTTTCCCCTTGCAAGCTCCCATCTGCAGAGACCCTCCTGGATCTTGTGAGCAGAAGTCGCCTCCCTTCTCAGAAGTCTTAACACAAGTCCTTTTTACGAGATCCTCATGCAGCCTCCATGTTGAGAAGGCGTTCATGGGACCAAAGCAGTATTTCCTGCTCTGCAACCACCCTGTGGTGTTCCACGGATTTACAGCACTGTCAGATGGTCTTAGGCCTCCTGTTGCCGCTTGATTTCTTTTACTGCACCAATATTTGATATAGTTTAGTTCGGGGTTTAAGCTTCAGCGTACAAAAAGCAAGGCAAGCTTATAATTATTTAACTAGAAATAACTTAGGGTCTGCCCCTGGCCATCTTGACCCACAGCTGCTCCCTAATTATGTCTGCACTTCCACACCCAGGCTCCTGCTGGAGTGACCTCTTCACTCCTTTCCTCTCTGAATTCTACCAATTCTTGGGATCTAGCTTAAGTTACTTTTGTTTCATAAAGGCTTCCCATGACCGCCCTGGCCTCATAAACTTTTTCTCTATACCACCATATATTTGAAATATGAAATATGATTAAATAGTTATTTGTAACTATATAAATATCTCATTTATTTTTTCATGTCTATATGTAGCTTAAACATGAATAGAGTGATTCCCTAATAGAAATTTGTTAGTAGGTCAGGTGCGGTGGCTCACCCTGCAGTCCCAGCACTTTGGGAGGCAAAGGCGGGTGGATCACTTGAGGTCAGGAATTCAAGACCAGCCTGGCCAACATGCTGAAACCCCATTGTACAAAAATACAGTAATTAGTTGGGCATGATGGCACATGCCTGTAGTCCCAGCTACTTGGGAGTCTG